CGCCGTTTTTCGGGGATTTCGGATTTTCTTTGAATTTTTTCGCAATAATATTCGAAAAATAGATAAATTTTAACTCATTTTAATGCAATAAAAATGTTTGGTCGGAGTCCCCCTTTAAAAACCATTTTTTCTCATTTTCCCCATATTTCCAGGCGTCTACACCCCGATGAAACGTTCTCACATCGGATGCACATGGGCTGGAGCCGTCGTCGGAGCGATTCCACCTCTAATGGGATACGCAGCAGCCACAGGACATCTGGACCCGGCTGCCTGGTGTTTGGCGACGATTTTATTCTCATGGCAATTCCCGCATTTCAATGGGTTGAGCTGGAATTTGAGAGGCGATTATAGTAAGGTTAGTCGATAGGAAATACTAAAAATTCTGGAAAAAAATATGAGAATCTTCAAAACGTCCAAAACATTGCCAATTTTTGAAAATCTGGTATTCTTAAAAATTTTTCCACTGAAAATATCTCCAATTTCCCGAAAACAGGCTAAAAATCGTAAAAAATCAGCACAAGTTTTTGAAGGAATCTAGCTGAAATTTCCGAAAAATCAGCACAAAACACGGGAAAAAAATAATTAAGAATTCATTATAATTAGTCAAGTGCTCTAAAAACCGTCTGAAAATGACTCAAAGTTGGCTGAAATTTTTAGAAAAATTAGAAAAAATTGATTTAACTAGACTAAAAATGACCTAAAACTTATCAAAATCGGTCTATAATTGCGCCGCAAAAAATTTTACTATATTCACAAAGCAAGAGTATACAAAAGAGACAAAACTTGGTTTTTCCAGGCCGGCTACCGAGTAATGTGTGTGACGAACGAACGTCTCTGCCGTGTGACATCCATCCGTCACAGCGTCGCTCTCCTGGGTCTCTGCTCCATCGCCGCGCCGCACACCGATCTGACCACTCTCACCTTTGCCATAGGTACAGTAACCTCGAAAACCCGCGCATCAAAATTTCCCTTTTTCCAGATTCCCTTCCCGTCAACGCCTACCTGGTCTACCTGTCATACAAATTCTATAAAGCACCGGACGCCAAAAACAGTCGAAAACTGTTCTTCTACTCGTTATTACACCTTCCATTGATCATGTTACTGATGGGAATCAGTAATTATGGACGGAATGAGCAACAGAAGGAGCCCGTGATGGAGAGGATAACGGTAGGGCGGTTTTAATTGGAAAATAGGCGAAAATTCGTTACAAATAGTTTCAAATGGCTTGAAAATTGGGTTAAACAACGTAAAAAGCTTAAAGGTAATGTACGGTGAAATTTTTGTATTGCATCAAAATGTGCAGAAATGCATGTAGATTGACATAAAAATAAAGAAAAAGTTCAAAAAAAATTCCTTCATCGAGAAATACACATCGAAAAATACGCTGAAAGCCCTTAGGGACGAGGTTTTTTCTAGGCCGCCCGGTGAGTAAAAGCGCGCGAATTCAAACTTTTAACATTTTTTTGCTCGTTTTCACTGTTTTTTCAAATTTTCCGATGTATCTGGAA